TAAGAAAACTTAAATAAATTATTATAAATAAATTTGATTATTATTTTGCAAATTAATCTTAAGTAAACTTATTTACTGGATTATTAAGTATATATATTTAAATTTTATATAAATATTCATTAAATAACAAATAAAAAATATTAATTATGAAAAATTTTATTAAGATAAGCTATTAAATACTTTTAAGTAAACTTTTTTACTAAATTATCAAGTATATATATTTAAAATTTTATATAAATTAAATAAATATTTATTAAATATAATCAAAAATAAAATATTTAATTTTTTTTATTATATACTGTATATAAATTATTTTAAAGTTATAATTATATTTTTAAAAAAAAGAATTTTAAATTTATAAATTAAAGTCAAAATTAATAATAATAAGAGAATTTAATTAAAATTAAAATTTGAATTTAGAATAAAATAAATATTGAAAATTTTTATTAATTACTTGAATTTATTTTTAAACTTTCAACTAAATTTAATTATTTAAATAAATATTCAGATAATAAAAATTATTTATATTTTTATTCTTTTATATTATTAAATTATTATATTTTAATATTAAATATTTTATTTTTATTAACAAAAATTCTTTTTTCAGATTTAAATTAATAATTTTTTTTCTTAGTATTTTTTTTATAATAAACTTATTTTTTATATTAATTAGAATTATTTTCTTTATTATTATAAAGATTAAATAATTTAAAATCTATTTTTTAATAATTAAATATATTTTTTCTTTTTTATTTTTTTATTTTTCTTCAAATTACAAAAATTATAAAGTATTTTTAAAATAATAAATATATAAAATAATTCTAATAAGTTATATAAAACTATATAATATTAGAAAAATTTTTAATATAAAAGTTAAGATTATTATTAGAATATAAAAATATATTAAATTTTTTTCTTCTTTATTAAATATATTTTTATAAGATAAATTTTCTAGTAAATATATTTTAATTTTAATAAAAAATAATTATAATAATTATTATTATTTTTTTTAAAAAAAATTTCTTAATTTTATATAATCTTTATATCTTTAAATATTAATTACTTATTAAGTAATAATAAAAAAATAAAATAATTACTAATTTCTGATTTTATCTTGAAATATTTTTTCTTCTAATATTAAAAATAATTAAATATTTTTAGTAAGTTTTTTAATATTTTTTATAATAATTTTCTTTATAACTTTAATAATAATAATTTCTTTAATATTATATATAATAATTTTTTTATAATTTTTATAATAATTTCTTTTATAATCTTTTATAATTTATTTAAATAAATAAAATTTATATTATTATCTTTTTAATATAAAATTAAATTAAGAGTAAATTTCAGTTCTAAATTATTAAATACATTATAAAAATAATTATGTATTTATAATATTTCAATATCAGTTAAAATATAATAATAAAAATATAAATTTTATTTTTATTAAGATTTCAAAATATATTTCAAATAAATAATTTATTAACAAAATAAAGTAATAAATTATGAATCAGAAATCTATTTTACAAGTAATATTTTTCTTAATCAAATTATTATAACTAAATTATATTAATCTATTTCAATCTATTTTTTTTATATAATTATAATATTTATATTATTTTATTATATTCTAAATATTAATTTAGCTAATATTATAATACTAATTTTATTATAATAACATTACTAGTTTAATTATAATAATTTCACTAACTTTGCTATAATAACTTTATTATGATTATTATATTTGTATAAATATTTATTAATAATTATTATATTTAATAAAATATAATTATTAATTATTCAATTAGATTGTAATATAAAAAAATTAATAATAAATAATAACTAATATTTTACTAAAAATTTATATTATAATAATATCTTTTTTATTTATTTCAAAATAAAGTTCAGTCTTCAATTAATAAAATATCTTAACTCTTTTTTTTTCTACTTAGAGTTAATAAAAAAAGTCATTTCAGTTTAAAATTAATGAGAAGATTATTAGTAAAACTGATTAAATATTTCTAATTTCTAGAATATTTATTAAAATAACAGGTATAAAATAAGTTTTCTTCTTTTTCTTTAAGTCTAAAGACAATATACTTTCTTTCAAATAGAAAGAGTTCTTTGAGGAAATTATTAAATACCTATAGATTCCATCCTAAGCAAGAGCATGCTTTCAAGAGATCATTCTTTAGTCTTTCATTATATTTTCTGCAACTGTAATCTTGTCATTTGAAGATGATATGATCACTATCAGAAATAAGATTATGTAAAAGATCATATCTGAGATGTTGAAGGCAGAGTTCTTCAGGTGAGATTTCTCTGATAATATTTCTGGAATCCATTTCAGTTTGGTTTGGTAAAAGTGCAATTTATTGCTTTGCCGGGCAGAGGGATGCTTTTTATAAATATTTGATAGTTGTACAACTTCTCTTCTCAACGTAATCCTCAGGACTGATTCCGCTTTTGGATCCATTTAATTTTATCTCATTTCCGGCAGAGCCTCCAATTTGTGAACGCAATGGGCTAACAATGAGGGTTCTTCTCATAATCACTTCATTATGGGTCTGTGTGATTACTAATTATACGAATTATAATTATATTAGCCTTTACGCATATGACTCGTCACGATAACCACATGTCTAGACGAATATTCCTGACTTTACGTATTCCTTCTAAGATTCAGGGAAGCTTAACCAAACGAGCGTAGTTTGAGTACTTCGCTTGGTGTCATATCAAATTGTGTTCTTTCTTAGTTCGGTATTGAGGCAAAGTTGAAATCAAATGAATTACCATCCTCTCCTTCTCAATTTCCTGGGCAGTCTCCAATTGATAATCAATTACGAAGAAACGACTTCATCACTGGTGAAAACTCGAAGATGGTGGGAAATTATGTACGGAAAAAGACTACGAGACCCTTAGAGGCAGAAGATGATCGTGATCGTTTTTACAAACGTCAACGTGGACAAGTTGATCCAATTGAGGTATTTATATTTATTTTTAATTTTTAGCACAAAAACATGTATTCAAATTGACCCAGAACCTTTGATGTATGCGTAGATTGAAGAACCTTCGCTAGATAAAATAGCACAGGAACAACCCATGCTGGTTGATCAATGCCCTGTTTGGTGTTATGAGAACAGGGTCGAATTCTTCTACGTCAGCGAGTTGTTTTTCATAACTTTTGATTTTGCTTTTAAACGCGATCACTCTAAGGGCTGTTGAAAACAGTGGCAGCAAATTCTAACATAATGTTTGATGGGTTAGATATTGCTTGTAAAGAAAGAGATCCTTAGAGAGAGCAATAAAAAAAGCAATTAACAAGAAGGAAATACTAAAAAATCATGCCTTGTCCCCAGATCAATTTTTTTTAAGGGTACATGTACTTGATTAGTTATTTTAGACCATTATTTATGATTAACCCTGAAATTTTTAATGTTCACGTTCACTTTTCCTGGTTAACTTATTTCGTTGTCAATATGAGTAGTTCAGTTGGTGGTATGGATCAGGTAAAAGAACCACAAGTGAAACAGAAACCAGTGGATACTCATGGGCGAAGATACACTTATGCAATACGTAAAGACTTGTTAGGGCGCCAACTGAATTGCCTTCTGGTGCTGGGTGGTTTGGTGTATTTTCTCATATTCGGCTTTCAAATAAGTGTGAGAGTACTTGGGTGTTGGGGTAACTTTAAATTATTCATTTTCTATATCATATTTCTTTGACTCTTATTCATGTAAATGTCAATTTTTTTCTTTTTAAAAGCTCATTTTACAGAAGAAAACGCGTGTGATTTGAGTTATATCCAGCCAATATACTCAATTAATACCATATATTCGTTTCTATGGATTTATTTTTTCGGAGTGCTGCCTACTCTATTCTTAAGAAAGTGGTATCGAAATTCTTCCGGTAAGTGAATGACATTCTCTTGCTCGCGCATTATTTGGTTAATATTTCAAAATTAATAAATCGGTTATTCTTCCTATATTTACGAAATAGTTAAATTAACGACAGAAGAAAATCTATGGTGTGATATTCGAACTCATCTTATTTCTACGCGTACTTACGCGACCATTTTGACTTATGTGATCACGGCTATGGTGATTGGTTGGTGCTATTATAAGTATTTGTTGCCGGAGTCTTTCAACCGATCCTTGAAACTTTTTTTACGACCCGGAGTTGAGTAAGTCTCCCTTTTTTTATGAATAGATACTTTATATTATTTTCTGTGAGTTCAAAGATAAATTACTTTTTTATTTTATATATGCAGTTTCAGGTGTCATCCATTTCGCAGAGAATCATGTAAAGATGACGCGTTGAATGAGTATACGATGATTCTAGCAACGAATACTATTGGATTTGGTCTATGGTACGCGTTAGATTACATGATCAGAAAACGCTTCCTTTTGAATTTTCCTTCAGTTCAGGTAATCTTCAAACTTTATTATTTTCGTTATTATTATTGTCTTATTATTATTATTGATCTTTTTTATGTCGCGTAAAAGATTCCTGTTTTCCAAATTCGATTTAAGCTCGATTGGAAATCATTAATCGAGACATTATTGCAAGAAAGATGCGAGCACCTGGAGAGACTCTATTCATTCTTTCTGAAAAATTATTCTTTACCTGGAGATCTTTTGATTGTAGTAGCGACGTTTACATTTTTTTATTGGAGCTATCAATTACTGATGTGGAAGTCATTTTATTATTTAATACTATGGGTTGCACGACCTTTCAAGTATATATAATGTTCAATACGATTTCTTTTATTCTTCTGGATTTTTTTTAATTGCTTGTCAAATTATTTTTTTTTAGAATCACTACCTATGACTGGTTGGATGTTCCGGTGTTCAGTATACAACTTATCAATCGAACGGTCTCTTGTTTGCTTTTTATACTTACATGTTGGACTTTGGCACACTGGCTATTCGAGAACTACTTTACTCGGGTATGCTTCTTTGGAATGAAAAATTGGTCGATGGTTTCCACACAAAAAAGGTGCGATGTGTGTGGTGGTTGAGTGTGAAACGTGAATATGAATGGGGCATGTAGTGCAAGATTAAAGTTTAGGATATAGATACAGATACATTCATTAAAATATAGATATAAATATATATATATGCCTTTTAACCTTAATTTTTTAATTGACTTTTTAACTCTAGAAAATCATATCGAATACTTCCAATGAGGTTCTTTTAAACGGACTATCCGCTAAAGATGAACCATACATTCAGGTGTTTTGAGTCGTCTACAACAATTAATTTTTGTTTACTAGTATATAATAACAAATTTATTTCTTGTATGTCGTTTTATAGAGTCTTGCATTCCTAGAATTATGGCACATCGCAAGAGACCCAGAATACATACCGCGACGCACAAGCATCTACCAGGAATACGAAAAAAACACGTGGGCAAACATATCACGCGTCTGTATCGAACTGATTCTTGACCTAGGACACGCGGCAAATACCCAAATACAAACGCAATACAAAAAGAATGATCAGATCAGACGATGGCGTGCCGAGCTTATTCGTGAGCAAAAAGAGAAACAGCCTGGTGGAAAAAGAAGAGCGACACGACCAAAGCTGATTCCATTAAAAGATATTAATACGTCGGGATCTTACATTCCTCGTGACTCAGAATATTGGGATCTAGTATGGTTTGAACGATTGAAGATGCGAGGCTTTGGATACCGTTATATTGTGTTTCCATTGTTAAATAGAACTATCGAGAGGCGTAGCATTAATTTGTTGAAGAATAAAAATATGATTGTACTTGCAGTCGAAGGTAATCATTTATATAATTCAATTTTACGTCAATTATTTCTTTTTTATTAATTCTTTTTATTCGTTTAGCATTAGCCTCATTAACAATAGATTCATTAACGCTGGATCAATATGGAGTTGTATCACCAGACATTTCAAGGATATTTGAATGCATGCTTGATTGTTTAATTGCGCTTGAAGAATACGCGAAAAAGCCCCCATTGTATGAATGGGATTCACACACACCTTCAATAGCTCATTCACGGGTATTAGCTGACGTAGTTGGGATCACAAATGGTAAGTATACGTTATTCAATTTATCACTTTCCTTAAAAAATCATTGACCAATATCGTTCTAATAGTGTTAAAGGAGGCAATTTACAATATGGCCGATCATTTTTACAACCATCTCCATTATGTAAATTTGCCTACGCTTCATTTTAATCGATTCGAAAGTTTGATCACTGAAAGGCTATAAATTCGATTGAAGGTGTGATTTAAAGAAATGATAGATACATCTTTACTCTATTATAGAAAATAATAGTAATAAATAGATCAATACAACTTTATTGTGAAAAGAATTCATAATTCCATTCATATAATTACTCAACTCTCATGTATCAGCAATTCCCTAATAACATAAATAATTGATCCAATGAAATTGATAAGATAAACGTGACTTTAATGGTAATGTATTAGGACAGTGACATTTATTAGCTAACACAAGTGACTCGGATGGATTGTAATACATCAATAACAGGTAATACTATTATTTCCTACATGATCTCTGAAAAGAATCAAGGCTCCATCAAGCAAAGCCCGGAGAAAAATTCCTCGAGCATCATTTTCATCTCGTTTCATTACAGCCTCACAATTTTGATACTTGTACATTTCAGATCCTTCTATTTTTTAAACACTCCCATACCAGCTACAAATTTTTGAAGTATAGATCTCATTTTGAATAATATAATTTCCAATTTTTCAGCTTTAGCTGATGAAATTGATAGTAAGTCAACAGAGTATTTTATGAATAGTTTTTCATATTATATTTCTTGTTTTTCAATTTATTATATTTGATATCTCAAAAAAAGAAATAATAGTATCAAATTCACAAGTAAAAAAATAAAATACTCTTTTTACAAATTTCAACTTTACAGATATTTGATTTTTTATATCATCTGAGAAATTACATTATTAAGTTGCAAGATCTTTTTATTTTACATTTTAAATTAAAGATAGTTAACTTATTTCTTATAGAATAAAGATTATTTATATATTTGTATAAATAAATAACTCATTCAATATCATATTAATTAATTTTATTTATATTTGTATTGTTACCATTTTAAGATTATACATATATAATTATTTTAAAATGGTAATAGTGACTGTGTTCATGGCAATTATTAATTTTTATAACTTCAAAAAATTATACAATTGATTATCTTTTCAATAAGATGATGTATATGAGATTTACTTCTAATGAAATTACAATTATCTTCTCAATAAGATAATTTATATGTATTTTACTTATAACAAAAATATGATTATTTTTTTAATAAGATAATATACATAAATTTATTTCTGACCAAAATACTTTCTTAATAAAACAAGAAAATAAGATAAGATATAAGATAAAATATGTGCATTTATTAAAGAAAAATACTAATTAACTACTCTTAACTTAGTAGTAATTACTTCTACCAAACTTAATTATTCTTCTT